GGCCTGCTGACATTATAGGAAAGGGGGCTGCTATAGGTGACTAACACAGTGCCTGACCACCTGCGTTAGGGTAAGCATACCATAATTTGTTCATTCTGAAAATTTCCACTGAGCCAGCAGAGGGTTCAATGTGTAGGGCAAAAGATTTTCTTTTATGCCAAACAAGTCCAAGAATTGTGAAGTTGTGAGTGAATGACTGCTTTGGTTGTCTAAGACTGCATGCATCTTAACATCTTTTTTAGGTTGTCCATCAGAAAACAGCTTGACAAGACATATTTTTGCATGATTTTCTCCTCCAAAGCCCCTGGAGTAGTAAATCACTGCATTTTGATGTGATTGTTGCAAATGACGGTTCATGGCTCTCCCTGCCATGATTTGAAACAGAAGCAGCTGAATCTGCAGGGATGTGCTGAAATGGATGAAGTGCTTGAACATTAGTATCACTGTCATTTGATTGTGACCTTACAGTTCCATGCAAGATGTTATGTGGAAGCACAGCACTGAAAGCAAATTCCAAATAGTTTCAAGAGCTCTTTGCGTTCCTGCAATGATCTTTTACAAGACCCATTACATTTCCTCAGAGGATTTGGCTTCTTGTGAATTGGTCATTAGCAATTGAGATATTCTTTCTGCTCATTTTGGTCACCGTGTGTATTACGATTTAGTAGTGTACTTGTCCCTTCAGAGTTTGTATTATAACTTGTCGGTCTATTTGTCTTTCTCACAGATACAGAAATGCAGCAGTCTTTGAATTTGTTGTGAACATCCTGTACAGTATTAAGGTGAAAGGCTGATTGGGTGCTGGGGTTGTTGTATAGGAAGCTTAAGTTATATACAGGACATCATTTTTAGTTTATGCATTGTTGCTAATGAAATAGAATGGTGGAACGGATACTTGGTTGTGCTTGTTCTTTGATCCTATAGTCGACCACTCTGAGACAGTTGGATTCATACCACGAGCAGTGTCTAGATGGCTTATGCCTGGTAGGTGTAGCAAATTGTAATTCAAACAAAAGATCACTCGGTTTGTGAATATTCTGTTTATCTTTATCAAATATCTTGGGGAAACTTTACAATTTTTGGACTGCTGTAGCTCTGATCTAGCCATTCCCAAGCTGTGTGGAGACCTACAGCTGGGTTGAAAGTGTGAACAGGTCTAAGCTAGTTTTACTTTGTGTTACTTAGAGAAGTTATAATATTAGGAATTTTACTAACTATTCCACTAAAGTGGTTGTCTACCTCTTGGAGTGCCCGTGTGGTCTACAGTATGTAGGTAGGACCACTTGTGCACTCTAGGTAAAAACTGGAGAACATCTTACCAATATCAAAATGGTTTTAAGGGGCAAAGCCTGTGTAGTCATTATGCAGTGTATCATAACAAGAATACCTCCTCCTGAAAATTGTTGGAATTGATGAACTGCTTTCTCATTGGCATGATAGCAATGGGAAACCTGTTGGGTTTGAGTTGAGGCCTCACACTCCACATTGGTTTACTGTGGAGTGGGACCTTAGTTGTTAAATCAATATTAAGGGTCCCCCTCCAGACCAGGTGTTCTCTTCTGAAGTGGTTTATTTTTGTTCTTATTTTCATTTCTAATAATTTTTATTGACATTTTCAAAAAGGTACAAAGTTCAGCATAGTTAAACTGGATACCAAACTTTTTCCAGCAATCATACAAAATAAGAACACGAGGCACTTGCATTCCATACCCAAATAGTAAAAATGAAGATAAAGTAGTAGTCAACAAGACCATCTAGGCAATACCCCAGTACTGAAAAAAATGAAAATAGAGGGATCTCAAATCTTGCTTCCCTTTTCAAGTATGGAAATTCTGCAGCCAAAAAGGGAAACACTGCTATCCATTCCAAATGCTCCCAAAGTACTGTGAGGAACCATTCGACAACAAATATACATGTTTGGGCAATCGATTAACTGGTTAAGTAGCAATACAAAGTGTAGGAGAAATTGTTTACAGGTTACACGGGAGGTCTGGTGCTAGAATTGTTCTCACATGTGTGATCATGGTTTACATAGGTGCGCATTACTTGCGTGTGTGTTCGCATTTGTGCGAACGCATACGGTACCTTTTTAATTTTTTTTTTTTTTAGGCAAATTTATTACTATTCGATATAAATAATTTATTTTCGATACTCCCTCAACCACCCCCACCAGTGCAAAATATATAGCAGCAAATGTCCACATATAAGTCCAAAATAAAGTGCTTTTCAATAAATAGTGCTTTTTCAAACGTTGAGGACTACTCCACTTTGCTGAATTTCAATCCAGGAACCTCAAATCAGGATACCTCAAAAAAATATAAACTCAATATAGTGTGTTATCATTACAACAACAAAACACTCGTGAAAACTAAGAGTGATTCCTCCTGGACTCCCACCCGTGATAAATCAACACTCCAAAATGTGATAAAGTGCAACACTCCACACCAGTGTTACCATCCAGATAAACTAAATACCATTACCCTCTCATAAAAAATCCCATGCATCCAAATGAGATAGTGCCATCTCTCTTGTGATATATATATACTATTACCCTCTTCCAATGCAGACCAAGCAAAACTCCTTCAAGGCAGTCCAAGGTTTCCCCCTCTTCGGAAGCTTCTTAATGCTTCCAATCCACCTTCCCCGTTCCTCAAAAGGGGCAGATAATACAAGACTCAATGAAGTATATAAAGGGATTTCACAAATTTATTCATAGCTTACATAGAAAACGCCAACGTCCATCCTCTCCCACAGTCCATATAGCTGAATTCCAGTGTTCAAGATGGCCGTGCCGCTCCTTCCGGTTTGAAATTGTATTGTACGTCCTTTAAAGGACGTAAGGACGTACAATACAATTTCAAACCGGAAGGAGCGGCACGGCCATCTTGAACACTGGAATTCAGCTATATGGACTGTGGGAGAGGATGGACGTTGGCGTTTTCTATGTAAGCTATGAATAAATTTGTGAAATCCCTTTATATACTTCATTGAGTCTTGTATTATCTGCCCCTTTTGAGGAACGGGGAAGGTGGATTGGAAGCATTAAGAAGCTTCCGAAGAGGGGGAAACCTTGGACTGCCTTGAAGGAGTTTTGCTTGGTCTGCATTGGAAGAGGGTAATAGTATATATATCACAAGAGAGATGGCACTATCTCATTTGGATGCATGGGATTTTTTATGAGAGGGTAATGGTATTTAGTTTATCTGGATGGTAACACTGGTGTGGAGTGTTGCACTTTATCACATTTTGGAGTGTTGATTTATCACGGGTGGGAGTCCAGGAGGAATCACTCTTAGTTTTCACGAGTGTTTTGTTGTTGTAATGATAACACACTATATTGAGTTTATATTTTTTTGAGGTATCCTGATTTGAGGTTCCTGGATTGAAATTCAGCAAAGTGGAGTAGTCCTCAACGTTTGAAAAAGCACTATTTATTGAAAAGCACTTTATTTTGGACTTATATGTGGACATTTGCTGCTATATATTTTGCACTGGTGGGGGTGGTTGAGGGAGTATCGAAAAGAAATTATTTATATTTTGTTTACACTTTCAAGGGTGAGAGTGATACTTTTCGTAGGGATATTTAGAGTTTATATTATATCTTTATTACTATTAGATCTCAGATCTCTCCTCTGCCTTGAAAGCATGTATTCAAACCAAGATTGGATTGATCAGATGCTTTACAAGCTGGTAACTGCTTGTAAACCTCAAATCCCTCTTGCTGCTGGTTTCTTACATCACAGAGGGGAGGCAGGTACATATGTACCTTTTTCCCCTCTCAGAGCGGAAACACACTGAGCGGTGATGGTGTTGGGCTCCCCAGTACCACGGGAGAGAACAGTAAAAGCAGCGGGAGGGCCCCCTTCTATGCCCTGTAGATGCGACCGAGTGCCTGCTCAGATCACTTCTACATTAAAGCCCATTTCTGGCTGAACATTTTGATTCTGGGAAGACACCAGCAGGTGCAGGTATCACTCTGGTGTACGTGTACGCTTTTATGGGTTGAAGTGGTTCAATTTTTCTCATACGTCTTTGCAAAACCACCACCTTGTGCCACTCCATTATAGCAAGTGCTGATTCTTATGTGGTAGTAGTCAGAATTTTTTTTTAAGATAATTGTGTTTCATTTTTATTATGAGTGGCCATTCATTTTTACATTAAAAGGAGTGAGTTTTTTGTTTTTGCTATGCTTGTTTATTCAAACTGTGTAAAGTAAATATATTATTTGCAACATTTTGTTTATGTGAACTCCTCTGGAGGGGGGGTCCATAGCTTTCATCACATTCTTAAAGGGATCCGTGACTCAAAAAAGGTTAAACACTGTTTTTGATTATCCAATGTAATTTCCAGCCTATATAGTACAGCTGTTTAGAGTATATGAAAACAATAAAGACGTGTCTGATATTTTTGGCACCTGTATATAGTGGCATTAGTTCATGGCAGAACCAATTTTTTTCTCCCCATAAAGGCTAATGGGTGTGCAAAAGCAGTTTAAAACAGTTTAGAGAAGGTCAAATGCAGATCAGGAGGTGGTCCTAAGTGCCTGTGCAAGATCTCAGAAACATCTTAAAGGCAAGCTGAATCCAACTGAAAAGGTGCAATATTTGTCCATCTAGACAAACCCCTAGCATTATTTTTCCTGGAGAATAAAGAACAGATCTGAGGTCCTCTAAATCCAGCCCAGCTTCGGGTGACTAGCTGATGTTCATAAATACCAGCTGGGCTTTAATGTTTTTTGTTTTTTTAATTGTAATTTTGTAAAATGAATGAAAATGTGGTCATGTTTGGATTGCTTAAAAATTCAGAAAATGCTGATTTTGTTCCCCCCCCCCCCCCCCCCATTTTCAATCAGTGAAATCAAAGTGTGTTTTTATGGTTGCAGTTTTTGACATGGAAGCATAAACATTACTGTAAAGACATTATGAAATTTAATTTTTAAGAAACCAGTCATGAAGTACACTACACTAATTGTTACCCTTTTTTTTTTTTTCTTTAAATAGAACAACTCATGAATTCCTTTTTGGTGCTTTGGCTGAGTTAGTTGATAATGCAAGGTATGTAATTCTTTCTTATTCTATAGAATTTAGTTTTACAAATTGTTTGTTTTTACTTTTACTTTTCTGTAGAACAACTCAACAGCATAACATGAAATATGACCTACACAGCAGAGATACAAAACTGCATGTCTCCCTAGTAAAACATAACACAGTGCATACATAGCACACAGTTAACCCTTTGATTGCCCCACATGTTAACCCCTTCCTGCCCAGTGTCATTAGTACAGTGTCAGTGCTTTTTATTAGCATTGATCACTGTATTAGTGTCACTGGAGATGTCAGTGGCAGTTAGTCAGTTTCCACCCAGTGTCAGGATGACGCCGCAGTCCCGTCATAAGTCACTGATCATTACTAGTATAAAAAAAAAATAAAATTCCAGTATATACCGCCATTTATAGATGCTATAACTGTCATATAAACCAATTAACTTACACGTATTGGGATTTTTATTTTTTAGCAAAGACACGTAGCAGAATACATTTTGGCCTAATTTTATGAAGAAATTTTAGATTTTTTTAAAAAAAATTTATTGGATATTCTTTATAGCAAAAATTCAAAAAATATATATTTTTTCAAAATTGTCAGTCTTGTGTTTTATAGCGCAAAAAATTAAAACGCAGAGGTGATCATATACTACCGAAAGAAAGCTCTATTTGTGTGGAAAAAGGTCATAAATTTCATTTGTGTACAGCATTGCATGACCACGCAATTGTCAAAGTAACGCAAAAAATGTCCTGGTCAGGAAGGGGGGTAAATCCTCTAGAGGGCAAGTGGTTAAAAACAAGTAAAAGTGGATTCAGCCAGCATTGTTCTATACTGCAGCTTGCTAAGCTACAGTGGATATAAAAAGTCTACACACCCCTGTTAAAATGTCCGGTTTCTGTGATGTAAAAAAATTAGACAAAGATAAATTATTCCAGAACTTTTTCCACCTTTTTAATGTGACCTATAAATTGCACAACTAAACTGAAAAACAAACTGAAATCTTTTAGGGGGAGAAATCAACATAAAAAACTAAAATAATGTGGTTGCATAAGTGTGCACACCCTCTTATAACTGGTGATGTAGCAATGTTCAGAATTAAGCAATCCCATTCAAAATCATGTTAAATAGGAGTCAGTACACCTCACCTGCCATCATTTAAAGTGCCGCTGATTAACCCCAAATAAAGTTCAGCTGTTCTAGTAGGTCTTTCCTGACATTTTCTTAGTCGCATACTACAGCAAAAGCCATGGTCTGCAGAGAGCTTCCAACGCATCAGAGGGATCTCATTGTTAAAAGGTATCCGTCAGAAGAATGGTACAAAAGAATTTCCAAGGCATTAGATATACCATGGAACACAATGAAGATAGTCATCAAGTGAAGAAAATATGGTGCAACAGTAACATTACCAAAAACTGGACGTCCCTCCAAAATTGATAAAAAGACGAGAAGAAATCTGGTCTGGGAGGCTGCCAAGAGGTCTACAGCAACATTAAAGGAGCTGCAGGAATATCTGGCAAGTACTGGCTGTGTGGTACATGTGACGACAATCTCCCGTATTCTTCATATGTCTGGGCTATGGGGTAGAGTGGCAAGAGGGAAGCCTTTTCTTACGAAGAAAAACATTTTTGGCCATAATTCCAAAAGATATGTTTGGCTCAAAAACAACACTGCACATCACCAAGAACACCATACCCACGCTCCTAGAAAGCTGAACATGAAGAGGAACTTCACCTTTCAGCATGACAACGACCCAAAGCATAAATCCAAATAAACAAAGGAATGGCTTCACTAGAAGAAGATTAAAGTTTTGGAATGGCCCAGCCAGAGCCCAGACCTGAATCTGATCGAAAATCTGTGGGGTAATCTGAAGAGGGCTGTGCACAGGAGATGCCCTCGGAATCTGACAGATTTGTAGTGTTTTTGCAAGGAAGAGTGGGCAAATATTGCCAAGTCACGATGTGCCATGCTGATAGATTCAAAAAGACTGAGTGCTGTAATAAAATCAAAAGGTGCTTCAACAAAGTATTAGTTTAAGGGTGTGCACACTTGCGCAACCATATTAATTTTAGTTTTTTTTATATTTACTTCCCTCCACCTAAAAGATTTCAGTTTGTTGTTCAACTGAGTTGTACAGTTTATAGGTTACATTAAAGGTGGAAAACGTTCTGAAATTATTTCTTTGTCTCATATTTTTACATCACAGGAACCTGACATTTTAACAAGGGTGCGTAGACTTTTTATATCCACTGTACCTGCCTTGCTCATTGAACTATAAATGAGCATCATCACACTTCTATAGATCTCCCTGTGCTCCTGCTTCTGAATACTTCCTAAAATGTAAACTTAAAGACATAACCTTTTGTTTTTTGTTTTGTTTTTTTTTTCTTCTTGTTGCTGTTAATTTGGATAGAGTTGAGAGGGATTAGAACATCTGTTATTTTTTTTTTTGTTGTTGTCTGTGCCCACATTTGACTATGCAACAGGAATTGAATGGAATCTCCCCAATGGGACACAGATGGCAAAAAAAACAAACTGATTAGGGTTATAACATTCAGTTATTCTATCCAAAATGTAGACTCTTCTCTACTTATCTGCTGGAGCTTTATCTGTTTGATTGCAGCTGTCGAGCATACCCATCTTCAGCCTGGATGTTAAATTTCTGCATCTGAACCCCTTTGGACTGGACGTTGCAAGGATAGTCTGGAAGTCAACTTTGTTTCATGTATGGAGCTTTACAGAGTCTGTTTTAGCAAAAGCTTTGTAGTGCTTTTCAGGTCCAGAGCTGCTGGTATTGCCCTGTCTCTGAAACTCAGTAGGTAGGTCTGTCGGGCCAAGCACAGCTACCTCATTTACTTAGGTCGCTGAGGTGCCTTAGGCCTTTTCTTCTACCCTGAGCCTGTACATTACATTCTCCTCCTCAGGTTTCACACAGGGGGAACAGTCTTGTTTTAGCAGGCACCCCCAGCTCATGCTCTATTAATGGCTTTGGTGCTGTTTGCAGTGTGCCTACTGCTCCTAGTCTGTTCTATCATAAGAGTCCTCTTTTGCTCTATCGGTTGTGGCTAGATCATCACTCCCTTTAGCTGAGGTGTTTCCCTTGCTCGTGTAAGATTTTATGACCCAAATCACCAAGTAATTTGCCAACTCTGATCAAAAACAAAGTTCCACACCTTCTCAATCAGTTTCTGTATCTGTTTTGCCCGTGGTTATAGCAGCTTCTGAGTAATCAGTTGCAGAGACTGATTGTTAGTCATTGCTGCAGTCCTTGACTGATGAGCTTACCACTGGGGAGTTCCAAATTACTGTTACTACTTCCAAGTTAAAGGAGACAGTTTTAAGTCTAACACCACCGAGAAACTAGGGGATCATCCTGTTGTTTCTACCAGTGCTGTTTCTAGTGTTGGATCATTTAAAACTCCTAAGGCCTCAAAGACCTTTCCAACTATTTTCAATAGTTAATGGAAGCTTCCTGACAAGCTGTTTGCTCCTCCAAGTGCTTTTTAGCCCTGTACAGTATATTTTTGGTCAGAATTTTGTGCAAACATGGTCTGCGGTGGATCTAAAAATGTCCCCCCTTAACAAGGTGCTTGCTATATCAGAGGACTCGCTCATCTTTAAGTACTGATCTGCTTGTTTTTTGGAACCCCTTTCTAGAGCTCTGTTCTCTTGTGGGTCCTGCCCTTCATCCAGTTGTTTTTGTGGCCTTCCTTCGTTAAACCACATATCTCGCATGTCACTACATATGTGTATGACATTTTGTCTAAAGTGCTGGACTGCAAAACCCTTGTGTAAAAATGTTTGATCCACATAGCCTTTGAGCGACAGGGTCTCTTTGTACCATCTCTAGACAACATTACCAAGGATACTACTGCAAGAGCACCCATCTTCCTTAGTAGAAGCCTAAGAAACACACTCCAGTGTCTTCTCTTTCTCTTTGGCTGTTAATAAATTATCCGCTTTTTCAACCACCTCGTTAGGATTCCCCAAGCTTTGCTTCCAACGCTTAGATATCAAACTCTGACGTTTTAGATGCTTGGATGCAGAAGGCTGCTTCTCAGGGCTAAAAACTGAAGTTTTGCCCCCTGGCCCTCCTACGTCCAATCTTTCTGTGTTTAGCTCCCCCTGTCCCTTCCATTGTGACTTTTTGGGATCTGAATTTGGTTCTGAAATGACTGTGAACATATTAAAGGTATTCCTGTCTCTATTTTGACCTGCAAAGCAGTGTTTGTTAAAACTGTCATGTCTGTGAGGCAAATGTCTTAACTGGTGGCCTTTATCCTACTCGGAATCTATTTTGATTTTGAAATAGGACAAGATGGTTTTGGGGCCTGAGACTTTCTTATCTAAGGTTGATTTTGCTTTTTCAACGTAAGCAGGACCTCATTTATTCATCCCTCGGTGAGGCTGCAGTTCATCAAGTGCCTGGATCCTAAGATTGACTGACTAAAAATACAAATATGACATTGGTAAGACGTTGCACAAGCATTTATTTCAACTGTGCATTTTTCTTGTTATCTTTAGTAGTGCTTAAAAATGAATCAAAAATATACAATTTTTTGTTTTCCTAAAAATGGTAATGCTTTTCATAATTATCACTTAATGTATTTTTTTTTTTTACAGAGATGCTGATGCTACAAGAATTGATATTTACACAGGTATTATATGAGCTTGCCCTTTCCTTTTTTTTTTTTTTTTTTTTGCCTTTTTCCCCTCTATCTTTATCTCTCTAACAGCAACTAATTTAAACAAAAATTTAATTAAATATATATAATATAGACACAGTTTTCAATTTATCCAGCTGAATTTACTAAGTAAAAGCTCTAACACCAACATGTCAGTAAAAAAAAAAAAAAATAAATAAAAACAGACCACCGAGTTGGAAGAAGGCTCCAACTCGGTATTTTGAAACATCTTTTGCTTTAATTACAGCCTTTATTCTGTTCAGATATGTCTCTACTAACTTTGCACATCTAAACTTTGCAATATTTGCCCACTCTTCTTTGCAGAACTGCTCAAGTTCAGTTAAATCGTGACCATTTGTGGACTGCAGTCTTAAGTCATCCACAGATTTTCAATGGTTTAAGTCTGGGCTCTGACTAGGCCATGCAAGGACATTTACCTTTTTCTCCTTCAACCACTGTGGTCATTTTTTCCTAGGCCATGCAAGGACATTCACCTTTTTCTTCTTCAACCACTGTGTTGTCATTTTTCCTGTGTGCTTTCAATCATTTTCGTGTTGGAAAGTACACCACCTTCCCATTGACAACTTTCTGGCAGAGGACAGCAAATTTTACTCAAGAATATGATGGTATTTTGCCCAATCCATTTTCCTTCTGTCCTGACAAAGGACTCCAGTCCCTCCCTGCTGTAGAGAAACGCCCCATAACAGGATATTACCACCACCATGCTTTACTGTAGGAGTAGTGTTATTTTGATGGTGAGCTGTATTGGATTTCTGCCAAACATATTAGCTTTGAAGCCAAATAATTACATTTTAGTCTCATCTGATTATAACACTTTTTGCCATGTGGCCTCAGAATTTTCAATGTGCGTTTTGACACAGCTCAGTCGTGACTGCATGTGGTTTTCTTGAAGAGTGGATTTTTCTTGCAACCCTCCCATACAAGCCATATTTCTGGATAATTTGTGATATTGTCACATGCACACAATGACCACTCTTTGTCCTAAATTCCTACAACTGCTTCAGAGTTGCTGAAAACCTCTTGGTAGCCTCTCTGACCAGTTTCCTCCTTGCTCTTTCATCTAGTTTGGAGCAATGTCCTGATCCAGGGAGGGTCTGTGTTGTACCAAATACCTTCCATTTCTTAATAATAGACTTTAGTGTGCTTCTAGGCATTGGTAAAGCCTTTTACATTTTTTTTTCTGTATTCATCTCCTGACTTGTGCCTGTCCACAACTTTATCCTGGAGACCTTTTGACCGTGCCTTGCCACCCATAGTTGATTGCTTCATTTGCACTACCAGGGACTGAAATGCTCCAGGAAAGCTCTTTTCCTGCTGAGCTAATCAAAATGAACTTAGCTGAGCACAGTTGCAAGTCAAATGGTTTTGTGTGCCATTGAGAAGGTGATTAGCTACACCTGACTCTGCAAGTCATTTTTAGGGGGGGTGGTTGGTGATCCTTTTTCCAACTCAGCGATTCTGTTTAATTTTTGGACATGTTGGTGTCATATCTTTCACTTGGATGTTATAAGTTGCACTGAGTAAATACAACTGGATAAAACAAACACCAAGTCTGTCTTCATTTCAGGCTGCATAGCAACAAAATGTGATTATTTTAAGGGGGTGTGATTCTTTTTCTATACCCACTGTATATACACTAAATTGCGAAAGGTATTGGGACGCCTGCCTTTACACGCACATGAACTTTAATGGCATCCTTCTTTCAGAAGCGCATTTGTGAGGTCAGGTGCTGATGTCAGACCAGAAGTCTTGGTTTGTGGTCTCCACTCTAATTCATCCCAAAGGTGACCTATCAGGTTGAGGTGCAGGCCAGTCATGGTCCTCCACCCCAAACTCGCTCATCCATGTCTTTACGGATCTTGCTTTGTGCACTGGTGCACAGTCATGTTAAAACAGGAAGAAGCCATCTCCAAACTGTTCCCACAAAGCTGGCAGCATACAATTGTCCAAAATGTCTGGGTATGCTGACGCCTTAAGCGTTCCCATCACTGGAACTAAGGGATGAAGCCCAACCCCTGAGAAACAACCCCACACCATAATCCCCCCACCACCACCAAACTGTGCACTTAGCACAATGCAGTCAGTCAAGTACCGTTCTCCTGGCAACCGCCAAACCCAGACACATCCATAGGATTTCCATACAGAAAAGTGTGGTTCGTCACTACAGAGAACATATCTCCACTGCTCTAGAGTCCAGTGGCTGCGTGCTTTACGCCGCTGCATCCGATGCTTTGCATTGCACTTGGTGATGTAAGGCTTGGATGCAGCTGCTCGGCCATGGAAACCGATTCCATGAAGCTCTCTACGCACTGTTGTTGTGCTAACCTGAAGGCAACACTAAGTTTGGAGGTCTTTAGCTATTGACTCTACAGACAGTTGGCGACTTCTGGGCACTGTGCACTTCAGCATGCCCTGACCCCGCTCTGTCATTTTACGTGGCCTACCACTTCGTGGCTGAGTTGCTGTTGTTCCCAGTAGCTTCCACTTTGTTATAATACCACTAACAGTTGACCGTGGAATATTTATTAACAAGGTAATTTCACGGATGGGTTATTGCACAGGTGGCAACCTATCATGATACCACACTTGAATTCACTGAGCTCCTGAGAGCTAGCCATTCTTTCTCAAATGTTTGTAGAAGCAGTCTGCATGCCCAAGTGCTTGATTGTATACACCTGTGGCCATGGAGGTGATTTGGAACACCTGAATCCAATTATATGGAGGGGTGTCCCAGTACTTTTTGGCAATATAGTGTGTATGTATGTGTGTGTATGTATATGTGTATGTATGTATTTATGTGTGTGTGTGTATATATATATATGTGTGTGTGTATGTGTGTATGTATGTGTATATATATATATATATATATATATGTAGTATATATAAATACACAGGTGAAACTCAAAAAATTAGAATATCGTGCAAAAGTTGATTTATTTCAGTAATGCAACTTAAAAGGTGAAACTAATATATGAGATAGACGCATTACATGCAAAGCAAGATAGTTCAAGCTGTGATTTGTCATAATTTTGATGATTATGGCTTACAGCTCATGAAAACCCCAAATCCACAATCTCAGAAAATTAGAATATTGTGAAAAGGGTGCAATATTCTAGGCTCAAAGTGTCCCACTCTAATCAGCTAATTAAGCCATAACACCTGCAAAGGGTTCCTGAGCCTTTAAATGGTCTCAGTCTGGTTCAGTAGGAATCACAATCATGGGAAAGACTGCTGACCTGACAGTTGTGCAGAAAACCATCACTGACACTCTCCATAAGGAGGGAAAGCCTCAAAAGGTAATTGCAAAAGAAGTTGGATGTTCCCAAAGTGCTGTATCAAAGCACATTAATAGAAAGTTATGTAGAAGGGTAAAGTGTGGAAGAAAAAGATGCACAAGCAGCAGGGATGATGGACCGCAGCCTGGAGAGGATTGTCAGGAAAAGGACTTTCACAAGGAGTGGACTGAGGCTGCAGTCAGTGCATCAAGATCCACCACACACACAGACGAATCCTGGACATGGGCTTCAAATGTCGTATTCCTCTTGTCAAGCCACGCCTGAACAACAAACAACGTCAGAAGTGTCTTACCTGGGCTAAAGAAAAACAAACCTGGTCTGTTGCTCAGTGGTCCAAAGTCCTCTTTTCTGATGAGAGCAACCTTTGCATCTCATTTGGAAACCAAGGACCCAGAGTATGGAGGAAGAATGGAGAGGCACACACTGCAAGATGCTTTGAAGTCCAGTGTGAAGTTTCCACAGTCTGTGTTGATTTGGGGAGCCATGTCATCTGCTGGTGTTGGTCCACTGTGCTTCATTAAGTCCAGGGTCAACGCGGCCGTCTACCAGGAGATTTTGAAGCACTTCATGCTTCTTTCCACAGATGAGCTTTATGGGGATGCTGACTCATTTTCCAGCAGGACTTGGCACCTGCCCACACTGCCAAAACCACCAAAACCTGGTTCAATGACCGTGGGATTACTGTGCTTGATTGGCCAGCAAACTCATCTGACCTGAACCCCATAGAGAATCTATGGGGCATTGCCAAGAGAAAGATGAGAGACATGAGACCAAACAATGCAGAAGAGCTAGAGGCCGCTATTTGAAGCATCCTGGTCTTCCATAACACCTCAGCAGTGCCACAGGCAGCTTCCATGCCACGCCGCACTGAGGCAGTAATTGCTGCAAAAGGGGCCCAAACCAAGTACTGAGTACATATGCATGCTTATACTTTTCAGAGGTCCGATATTGTTCTCTGTACAATCCTTGTTTTATTGATTGCATGTAATATTCTAATTTTCTGAGATTGTGGATTTGAGGTTTTCATGAGCTGTAAGCCATAATCATCACAATTATGACAAATCACGGCTTGAACTATCTTGCTTTGTATGTAATGAGTCTATCTCATATATTAGTTTCACCTTTTAAGTTGCATTACTGAAATAAATCAACTTTTGCGCGATATTCTAATATTTTCGAGTTTCGTGTGTGTGTGTATAATCTCCTCTGCCCGTTTTAAAAGTAGTGGCTTCTTTACATCTGAGTGAACCAGAAGCGGCAAAATCACCGTTAGACTATATAGATTATTGGGGAACTTCCGGTCTTGTATGATAAGCTGGCGGAAATGCCGGCTTTAGTCCTGGACTCCCCGGTGGATTGGGAGGGCCTGGGAAGGTGGCTGAGGTGGGGGCACCTTCCATCACATATTAAAGCAATGCAGCAATTACTTGGCCTCTAGGATTGCTTTTAAATGATTCCGCATTGCCAGCTGAAAAAAAAGATATGGAGTCATGACTGCAGCTGCAGTCATAGCCTGACATAACCACTACTTCCCGAGGACAGAAGGTAGGGGAAACCATTTATCTTGTACTGTACAGGACTTCTGCAGGCTATATTCAGGTGATTGGCCATTGCTTGTGACTACCTACAGTGAGGAACAGAAGTATTTGAACACCC